GCGATTAAGTTGAACTCTAATTCTCCTCTCATTTTTTTATAATCTTAGCTACATCTATCATACATTAGCATACATTAGTAATATCCATCACGTGATCCTTATAGAGTTTCTCGTGTCGAACACGAATCTGGAAACAGAATTGCTTTATCACGTACCATTTTCGAAAGCTCGTCGTTTTTGTCAAAATGCATGATTTTCGTGAAAATTGAGGTATGATTACAGGAAAACTAAGGGAGCGAGGAAGTTCATTTTGGAACCAAGAGATAGAGGAGACTTTCTAGAATAAATCCATGTAAAATACTTTCTGCATTCGTACTTCTTAACAGTTGTAAATAATTGTTGAAGTTCGAGAAAGCGCTGACTCGAGTACATACACGTACTATTTTCGTATGCATGTGAAAGTCCTTTTGCTTAGGAGGAATTTGCTACACAGGATTGGATTCTACTGACCTTTCTCATGAAGAAACCATTCAATATGACTATCTCTGTGCAGTGGTACTTCGGCGATTTACAAAAATATTAATCGACATCGCGGCTGGTCGCGCGATCCACCATTGACGTAGGTGTGCTTGTCTGATATATTTCTGGTACTCCTAATATCTATTTACTTTTTATGATATTATTTAACACACATAGAAATATACTCATAAAAATTGGAATTCTAACAGTAATACTCATAAAAAGCAAATAGCTATAAAACGGATACCACAAATACAGGGTGTTCCAGAAAAAGTGTTAGAGCCGAAGAGAGGTGATTCTGCAGTCGTGGCTTAGCGCGGGCCCTACACGTGCTCTTATTGGTCAGTGTTTTTCGTTAACAACTTAAAGACCGTACCTCACTTTGCATTTTACCAAAGGAAATTGTTGTTCAAAAACAGCTCAAAAATCACCTCTCTTCGGCTCTAACACCTTTTTTGGGACACACATAGCTACGGCACTGGCGGACCGCGTGACGGGCCATGATTTCGATTAATATTTTCGTAAATTGCCAAGGTACCAATGCACACAGACAGTTATATTGATTGGTTTCTTCGTGAGAAACGTCTATAGAATCCAATCCTGTGTAGTAAATTCCTCCTAGACAAAAGGACTATCAAATACATACGAAAATAGTACGTGTAAGTACTCGCGTCAGCGCTTTCTCGAACTTCAACAATTATTTACAACTGTTAAGAAGTATTTTACATGGATTTATACTGGAAAGTCTCTTCTATTTCTTGGTTATAAAATGAACTTCCTCGCTCCCTTAGTTTCTCTGTAATACCTCATTTTTTCCGAAAATTATGCATTTTTACAAGAATGACGATTTTTCGAAAATGGTACGTGATAGAACAATTCTATTTCCAGATTCGTGTTCGACACGAGAAACTCTATAAGAATTACGTGATGGATATTGCAAAACCTGAAAAAAGTTTTTATTTGTCGTTTGGTGTTGTCGGAAAAGAACATGTCGACTTACTTCTTCAATGGATTTTCTATCCATTGTTGATATGTTTTCTTAGCATAGAATGTGCATTCCTTGACACCAGCCTCGCAGGCCCATTTTATTGTGTCTACTCTGAGCATTTTTACGAGATCGCTGTCATTCGCCTTCGGTTCATAACCCACGTTCTTCGTCAAAGTCTTCATCAGGTATGCCACATAACGCTGCAAATTTCAGTATTTGTATACATGTTCACATGTTCCCCATAAAAATTGTAGATTATTAATCCTCATTGCGGAAATATTTTTTTTGATACTGTACTTGTATAGAGAATGTCCAGGAACTAATACTACGCTCGAGAATGGGGAGAAGCTGAGGTGATGTTAAATAATATTTCTTTACATATACTTATACTTATATTACTTTACAAAGAAGTTGTCCGCGGCTTGGTTGTCGAGTTATTAACGAAAAACTGGGACCAATCGGAGCGCGCGTATATCGCGCGGTCAGGAGAGCGATAACCGTCTCGTACATTGCCGTGGCCGCATGACACGTTCGTGACGAGGACGTAGGATTAAAACAAAACTTACATGTAAGAGCAACTAAGGAATTGATTAACTATCAGAGAAAAGAAAGCAATTAGTTATTTGTTATGTTAATTGGATAGATGCAGCATATTCAGTGAAATAACTATCAACTTGCTAAAATTATACAAAATGGGAAAAGAATTAGAGTTGAAGTTAGTCATTCGTCTTTAAGTTCACCTGCTCCTAGAAGAATTCCTGTGGGTCAATGAGCGAAACCTGACACTCGAAAGTAAAACACATGGCCATGTCTATCAGTGATCTGCAGTAAACATCACTGCTGCCCATGTGTTTTAGCTTCAAGTACTGGGGTCGGCATATTGACCCATGTTAAAGATAAAGGCTTTACTTAAACTCAAATTCTCTTCCTATTTTTTATAATTTTAGCTATTCTGTAATTTATAAAATTGTTAGTTACTTCACTAAGTATGTTACATTTATTCAGTGAATGTAACTAACGACAAATTGCTTTGTTTTCTGTAATATTTAAACAATTTCTTAATTGCTCTTGCATGTAACTTTTGTTTTAATCTTATATTCTCGTCACGAGCGTGGCATAAGGCCGTGGAATCGTACGAGGCGATTGTCGCTCCACTGACCGCCCGCTATACGAGCGTTCTGATTGTTCCCGGTTTTCGTTAATAACTCGGCAACCACGCCTGGGACAACTTTTACTTTTTTACTTACCCTGAAAATGTAATAGTTCTTAGAGGTGCGTAATAAGTTCTGCAGGAAGCCCAAATGCCTGAACGCCGATTGCCAGGGTATGTAATCAGCCTCGTGCGTTAAGAAGAGGCTCACATCGAATGCGACCGTGTAGTTCAATCTCTCAGCACGAGCTAAGCTGAAGGTGTCATCGACTATCTGCGCACGGTTCACTGGATGTATTTTTGTATTGTTCCCCTTGTTCAGCTCTTTTATCAACAGTTTCCAATTTTCTATCTCATAATTCACGCGATAGTAACCTGACAGAGAATACAAAATTTCGTTAATTATATCGGCTGTCTTTTGCCCTTTGAAAATAACGACTTTTTCTGTGAAATGAATTGTTAATTTATCTTATGCATGTATCAGTGCGCAGTTGAGAATAGTTACAAGAAACGCGAAGAAATACGTTATATTAATCTAGTAATTCTCTTAAGTTGCCAAAGCTCAATTACATAAAATAAATATAACACCGTACGACACACAATTTTTTGGAATATCCACTACGTGGTTCTTATAGAGTTTCTTATGTAAGAAACCAATCCGAAATGATGTATCACTTATCGTTTTTTAAATTTAGTGGTTTTTGTAAAAGAGCATGACTTTCGGGAAAGTAAAGTTAACGATAAGAAAAAGTCGAGAGAATTGATTTTTGAATCGAAAGATAGAGGAGACCTTCTATAACTGGATGAATGATGACTTCGAATAATTTATAAGGTATTTGTTATACGATAAAAATGTTTAAACAAATGTTGCATGGCTTCTAGGAGAATATTCAGTGCTGTGATCTGTCTTTTGTTTGTTTCGTTCTTTACCGAGATATGTGGAACACCTGCAGTTATTTAAATAGAATGCTCAATATTTTTTCTCGAATTTCAATAATGCACCAAATTCTAAGTAAATTTAAGTATGAGTAGTATAAGAAACTGTGCACATAAAATGTTTTCTACTAGAAGATTATTAATTTGACCATATTTCAGTAATTATTCATTTGAATCCTCATTGGTATAATACTTTTTTAATCACAATATGCTGATATTTATTAATATGAGCAGTACAAGATATATGAAAAATTGTAGTTATAAAGCTTTTGTTTCTAAGCAATTTTATGTCCACAAAGGATTGTTTCGAACGAAATCAAGGCCAGAGCACGCCAGACTTAACTTTCGTCTTTTCGAAAAGGTACTCGACGATTCAAAAATCTACTCATGTAGAGACAAAAAGTGTAGTCCCGTAAACTTATATTTTACACTATTTTTGCATGGTTATCGATAAAATAGAGCAAACAAACGTTAAAATTTTACTTAAAAATGTTAGGAAAGTGATATGATTACCTTAGCTCCTTAGCACTTTAAAGTTTGAAATACCCACAGAGATTATATTAAGTGAACACTCTAAAACGGAACAGTTGCCTTACTTGTGGACCAAACAACTTCAATATTCTCGAAGAGATTAATTTACGAAATATATATCATAATTTGAATACGGTAAAGTAATTATTTACTATTATTTCTTCCTGTATTTTGAGAATTTTTACTATTAATTCTCATCTCATTTTGAATTGTTTCAGAGGATTCATATGTGATAATCGTGAATCATTTTGTATGTTTTACAAAACTATACAACATACCTACTTGCTGGATGTTGAAAACGACCCACCCCTTTGTTTCAGAATTATTTAGGATAAATGGTTCCTCGTTCGGAGGGATCCAATCATAAGAAAGCGTATCATTGAAATCGGGATGAGATTCTCCAGTATAAGTGATGGGTATCCACCACTTGGTATCTTCCGAATCGATCGCGAAACCTTCCTGTGTCAATTGGTAGCCCTGTTTGACTTTCTTAACTGTTACCACCGGATATCCGGGAGTTTCCGTCCAGTTCCGCATTACAACTTTCACGGACTGAAAGTCAGGATCTCCGTTTCGGGGCAGGACTTTCTCGAGGGAGTCGAAAAAGTTATCCGAATTCGCATTACCTAACGTGCTATAACAGTTATTTTCTTAGTGGAAACAGTAAACAAAAGTGTATATAAATTGAAAAAGAACAGATACGATTTGAATAGGTATATTACAAACAGTGACTTAATTATTCGTTCAGAAGTATTGGATTCGAGAAGAAAGTTCGTTCAGATTTTTATAGAAAATTCGAAGGTTGCGCATTTAAATTTTTATATAAATTTATTAATTTATTGAATTATTTACGTGCTATTTTGGTCCACACATTTTTATGGAACTTTTACACTCTGCACCGAAAAGTAGTTATTTGCGCCATTCAATACTGCGTAGATAATTAAGACAAAATTCGTTTTAATGTTGAATTTAAGATGCATTGCAAGGCACTTTGGTTCTTATTTTATTCGAAACAATCAATCTATGGGATGATTAAAATTCAAGACGTAGTAACTACGATTTTTGTTTCATCTTGTAATAGTTACTTTATTGAATATCGGCATAGTCTCACTGAATAATGAGTTTTTAGAATATATACACATGTCATTTGTTTTCAGTCATCCTGATATACTAATATATCTCTTAATCCTTCTATCAAAAATCGGAACTAACTTTCCCGACAATCCGATACTTGTTTTTCTAATTTTATTTCAAGAAAGATTGTTTTATATGCGAATAAAGATATACGTACTAGTTTTTCAGATAGAATATCAAACCATTATGGAAATTCTTTTCCGTTAGGGCATGGTGAAGCATTCGAAGAATACAAGCAGCTGCAATTCATACAAATAATTACTTGTATTCACTGTCGAAGTAAGTACAATGCAATGTGGAATGTATTTGTTCAAAATTAAGTAAACAAACTGTTGAGACGAATCGTCTCATTTAAGGATGTTTGGAGTATAAGTCAAAACGATGACACAAGCTTGAAATTTTGAAAATAAATAGATTATTCCATAGTAAAATCATGTATAAACTTTTATGAAGATTTATGAGCTTGCTTTAAAGTTATAGTACTTTAAAATTAACGTGTTCTTATGGAGATTAGCAAAATACAGCGGTATTGTCAAGTTCATTGATTAAAAAAGTGTAGAAAAAATAATGTCAAGCTTCTAAAACTTTTTATGCTGATGAATAATTACCCTTACGGAAAATACTCTTAGAATTTGAGAGTTTTACTCTCAAAAATATCATGAACTACGAACTTTCAATTTAAGGGTAATTTCGTATTCTCAAATTCAGAATACTGTCAATTTGAGAGTAACTCTTAAGTTAAGTGTAATTTTTTTAGTTGGGTTGTGAGTTACTTTCGGCTGCAGTGTCAAGGAATACATAATACAATTCTCGACCTAATTGTAGCATCGAAGGAAAAAAATTATACCTAACTATGATAGGGAAGTATAAAAGTAGAACTGGACAACAAGTAGCAGATGAAAGTAGCTTAATTGTATTTGGAGAAGGAAAAATGATATTTCTTCCATTAATTGAAAAACTATCTATTGAAGCGCTGGTTCAAACAAATGTTGAACATTTTGCAACAAAATGTGACAGATTTATTTATAAAAATGTGTTATATCATGCAAGTACGTATGACAAAATATGGAATAAAAAGAAATAATAGTATGGTGGTGCTTACATCCCGAACTTTTATGCAAATTGCAGGAATTTTTAATGTAAAAACACTGACTGGAATTCAAAAATATGTTATTATTGGTAAATCTTTTGAAATGTTAGACGATGTTTTAGGTTCAAACAATTATTTTTCATCAGCAGATTATTGTACTGCAGTTAGGGACACTAATAATATTATTATAACTTGGTTTCCACATGAAGTTTATAGTAAATGTATTCTTTTGCCATGTAATAATACATCTTACATGATGAAACTAGTAAACAAAGTGGAAACTCATTAAAAAATGTATGTAGAGTGTCAAGAAATTAGACTGTATAATAACATATCCGAGTTAACTTATTGCAACTGATTTGATATACAGTATGCCTTAATATTCCTGTATGAACCTCAACTATTGAGAGTAATTCTTAATATATGGGAATGAACTCTCAACGATTGACAACATACCCTCGATATTTAAGATTGTTTAATGATCGGTGTTTTAGAATTAAGAAACAAGGTTTACGACGATTACTCGGCCTTGTAATATTAAATTTCTAATCGAGCGTTAAATTTAAAATTGACCGAGTATAAGAAACGGCGCGAAGTTTCTTATACCGATGAGTCAACGCGAGACGTAGAAAAAATAAGAACACCGTCTGCTGGCCGGAATCACCGGTAACGAGAATTCGCATTCGAATTCTCGGAACAGGCGTTCTCGCTCTACTTACACAATACGTGACAGAAAAGGACAGACTAATCCGCCGAATACGCCGCACAGCGGAGGATTAGTTTTCTTCGACGAGAAAGCCGGAGTTCCGACCCTGTCTGCATAGAGCCGTCAAACTGAACAGATCGGACGATTACGATACTGATTCCCCAGTTCATTATACGATTGAATTTAACTTGAAATCGTCGCAGAAAAGGACGAAGCATAGACTGTCTTACAGTTCCTCGCGATACCCGATTCCACGAAGCGAACGAAAGATACTCTTTCGATTCGTATTTAGCGTGCCCCCGCACTGACTTTCACTTGCAGGGAAAAAGATACGAACAGGAGGTCGTATCTTGCTAGCGGATTATGCTCTGGGTCAGTGGCTAATTGTTGGTCGACCGCCGGTTGAAGGATCGGCGCTTTCATAAGGCGCCTGCAGTGGGTATTGGATCTTCACCCGATATTGCAGAGTTCCGCGAATAATACGCGCTCCAGGTCTTCCTGGCACAGTTGCACGAGAAATACGTACTTTCACTCTTTTCTTTTTGAAGGGAAAATATTTTGTCTGTTTCACCAGGCAATTAATAGGCAAGCGATTTTCTGTAATTCGCACGAATGTTGAATGACAGAACTATGTAATTTTTACACGGAGACACTGTATGAACATATACAATACATTAAACTACATGTATGCTGGCAACAGATAGTGGCCAGTAATAAAGTAATATAAGTCCCAAAAAATATTTAGGAAATTGTGGGGTCTACGGAAAAGCATACAAACCTAGATGCCTCAGAGGACCGCTATCATATCAATAGGGCGGCAGATATATGTAGAAGTATGTGAAAGAATGAAAGTATCAGTGATCGGGACCAGGGATCTCGTAATTTTTCGCAGACGGCTCGCTTCCCCTGTTTTTCGCCCGTATTTCGATCCCCACTACTATTCCCCTCATGCGTGCTCATGCGCGTTAGCGAAGCTCTCCGTGAAAATCACTGCATACCCCCACCAACTATTGGTCCCCACCATGGTCGCATCGTCCCCACTTTCCGGCCGAGCGAAAAATTACGAGATCCCTGATCGGGACCCCGTTCTTTTCAAAGGAAAATTGTCAAGCACCATTTGTGGCACGATGTGTTCGTCACTGAGCTCAATGCGGATTGTATACCGCAGTTAACTAGCGGAACTACCAAGGAGAGAGTTCGGAGTGTTGTAAGCACTCCACTTTTTCCGAGGCAGTGCTCAAAGATACCGTCTGCGCCACGAGAGATAGAGTTGTACTCTGTTCGTGCCAGACTTATAAATAGCACAAGCTCATTCATTAATGTTTTATAGAACATTCTATGTGATTCAGTTTTCAAAATTCACATCCTACGTATTTTTAACAAGTTTACTTTCCTTCCGTTGAAAAGAAATAAAATAACAATCATTATCTGAGCAAATCGGATATCACTATTTTAATAGTAAAATAGGAAGGTCTCATCTCATAAAATTTTACCATATAATATACTCCATATC